GCGCGGAGGGGGGCAGGCGGCCCGGGCGGGGGGGAGGAGGGCGAGGAGGAGCAGGTCGCACCGGTCCGCGCCCGCCCGGTTTGTCCCGTCCCGCCGGGGCCGCCCTGGGAGCCCGGCAGAGCCCCTCCGTCCCCTGGGCATCTCCGGGCGCTAGTGTCCGGTAGAGACCGCGGGCAGCTGCCGCTGCCTAGCACCACCCGCTCTGCCCCGTGACAGAAGAGGGACACCCAAAGTCCGACCCCTCTCCCGGCTACGCTACGGACGGACCAGCTGCCCTTCCCGCGCCCCGTTGCACCGCGCTGCAGAGACGGCTTGAAGGCTTATAGGGTCAAAACCGGCCTTTTCCTCTGAGCTAGTTCTGGTTTGTTTCTTGGGGTGTTCGGTTTTGGGGTTTTTTTTAATTTGTTTATTTGTTTTGCTTTGCTTTTAACTGCTCCCGCTCACGTACAAGCGGGCCGTGCTCGTCCCAGCAGGGAGGCGGCGACGGAGCGGGCTGCCGGCGGCACCGAGGCCGACGCGGGGGCTCCGCAGGGGGTTCTGCACTCACGTTAGGTCACCGACTTGTTTCCTTTCTCTCCTTAGGTGATAGAAATTTGGGGGTCGGGGTGAAAATAGAACAACCAGAAAGTGCGCCTGTTTGTGCGTTGGCTTGCTGTGGTTCATTAGAAACTGGGGTATCGTTTCCTAGTGCCCTCGAGCATGTGTACAGAAAAGCTTCGTTTTTCAGTGGAGGAGGAATAGCCCATTTTCTGTTTAAATTATACACTTTGTGGTTTGTGGCCAAAGATGAGCTAGTCCTTGGGTTTTGCATGCTCAGGAGACAGGATACACCTGCTTTCTGGGCAGAGTTACCTGCGCACAAGTGCGAAGCCAACATAAAGTAATAGGTCTGAAGTGTAAAACTTCAGGGTGATGTGTGGCTGCTGTTCCAGTCAGGAACTGACAGCAGTTTACAACTGTGAATGCATCAAAAGTCTAGACACCAGCCAGCTACAATTATGTTTGGCACCCTTCCGGTTATTGTAATCAAACCCATCATCTGTCCTGCCCCGCTGCAACTACACCTAGATGCTAGTTAATAAATGGCACCAAAGACCGTGTACATCTTGTCTATGCTTGTGGTTTTATCATATTGAATCGGTGTTGATTCAGATGAATTAAATTGATGACACCTACTAAATCAACAAGGACTATTCCAAATGTAGACAAGTGCCTACAAAGTGCATGCTGCAGAAAGAAAGCAGGAAAAATCCTACAGGCTACTGCTGCAGTAGTATGTCCTTCAAGAAATGACTCAAATGCAGTAACAATCTTCCCACATACTGCTTTTTTTTTTCCATCACCAAATTACTGAAGTAATAGATCAACACATACATTTTTCAGGGTAAATTAAAATTTCTTTCTTCAGCCTGACAGTCACTGCAACTTGACACCTGCAGTGCCAGGCAGGCTATTTTTAAAACTCCTCTACGGATACCGGCAATATACTTAGACACATAACATCATAATCTTTTATGTATTACTTTTTTATAGGGATGAATATGCAGAGGAAATTTTTTTCAGTTGCACTCTTACCATTAAACAGTTTCCATAAGCTGCAAATGAAAAAAATATTAAAATCTTCAGATATTTAGGAATATCAACAGTAAAACATTAATTAGTTGTCTTTAATGATTTTTTTTAAAGTTGCATTTATTAAAAATGTAAGAATAAGAAATGATTAGTCCTTTAAAAATGTAGCTGTTAACATCAAACTAAAACCACCGCTACACAAAAGAGCAAATGACCCCTTGTTTTCATGCTTAAGAGTAATTTCTTTCTCAGAAGAATCTGCAGCTAGCTTTCAGTGACAGATAGCTTTGTCCTGGTGAAAAGAAAGAGCTGGGTAGGTGACCTTGGTTTGCAGTTTTTCATTTAGGGCCAATCACTTTGAAATTAAATTTAATTTTCCTGTAGATTTCAGGGTCAGGAAAACAAAATTTCTAATATATTGGGCTGACTTAAAGAACAGCTATAGAATGGAACAAATCCATCATGAACAATATAATATTATCTAAAAGATGCATACCTTAGGGTGGTTCCAAGAGGCAGGTGAAAGGACTGGATCTCAGCAAGGGCATTTTCATATATCTGATCTTTGTTTTCTTCTAGATATAATTCTGACAGATTTGACTTGCTTTTCCTTGCCATAGATGAGCATAAAACTAGTCTAACTTTAGGAGAGGACTTTTATTCTGATTATCGTTGACTAAGTGACTCTGTAGTCAGCAAAACTAGACATGAAAAAACAGATCCTGCGCTAACCTCGTGACTCCTGAGGACTTTGTGTCCAAGAATGGTGCACAGCTGCTGTTTTCCTGTCTCTGCTGGTAACATTTGCTTCGTATGCAGTACCCAGGCCTGCACAGTCTTTTTTCTGTGTGCTTCCAATTCATTTATCTTAACAGGAAATTTACTGGCAAAAATCATATTTTTACATCATTGTAATAGTTCACCAGTAATAAATATTAAGCCTGAAATGTAGTCTGTTTGAAAACACAATTTTAAAGTCATTTCAGACACTAGATATCAATGCTCAATTTCTCTGTTAAGTTTTATGAGATTAAAAAGAATAATTTATAAAAAATATTGTATTTTTCCTTTTGCTGTATAAAAAGCCCACACACACAAGAAATTAGCTGGATTTATGAAGCAGGTTTATGGACTTTGTAAAGCAGACTGGAAAAGCAGAGAAACTTCTTTTCTCGTCTTTTTCCTTTTCAGCATTAGTAGATGCTACTTATAATAATAGAGTGCAAAAAATGCTCTGGGATAACTGTGTTTTTTATATGAGTGTGCAGTAAACAAAACTGTTACTAATTCATTACCTGTGTGAAAGAAAAAGAAAATGGATAAACTACAAATGTTGAGAGCGGTGCTGCTGTCAAGTCATTGTCATTATGATGATGGCAAAGAAAATAGTTTGCGCAACTGCCACCAATTACTTTAATTTCAGGCAGTTATTTCAGACGTGAGACTGAAGTTCTAGATTTTTCAGTTTAAGCAACTTTTAGAAGCCTAATTCAATATTATGTGGAATAGTCAATCTTACTATATTTGGTAATTTTCAATATGTCAAAAGTTTTAATCAAAATTTGGCTATCTCAGTACTGCTCCTGACCAAATTGATGACAGTCTTGACACTCATGGTGCAGTCAACAGTTAAATGCAGGAAAACAGAAATTACTCATTTCTGACCAGGGTGATAGATTGTTTATTCACTTCTCCGTGCCCAGCGGGAACACTGGGGAGATGACTTCACACCAGTAGGAGTGGGAAAGAGCTCCAAGGGCTACAATGAGTTACACATGTACAAATCTGTAACGTGTGTTCCTTTGAATAAGCTGCTTTAATCACCTGCTTATTTTTAAAACAAAATTAAGCAATTGCTCTGTTAGCATTAATATCCAATGCATTTCCTGCTTTCGTGTTCTAAACAGAGTTGTGAGCCATTTTTACACCTTTCACAAGAAATGGGAGCCTGTGATTGACCCATCCAGCCACTGGATGTCACACAAATGCAGGTGAAAGGATATTGTAACTACTCGTTCTAATCTCAACAGACACCAGTTTCAGTATTAATTTATCAATTATGAGGTGACACTGTGGAAGTAAACTGCAGAAATGATGACACTGAATAAGCTGAAGCTTAAGCTTATTCACGTGATAGAAGAAAGTACAACTGCTGCCACCGTGGCAGAGCACAGGCAGTAATTCGGAGATGCCTTGGACATCTACACCCAGCCATCACACACTGTGGCTTTCAAGAAAAATAGGATGAAGCAATGGGAGCATGATGCTTTTTACAGAGTGCTTTTGTGAATGTTTTTATGTGATTTTAAGTGAGTTAAATACTTGCAGAGGCTTTGGGTACAATTTCTTCTTCCTTCTTTCCCCAAAACTCACACAGATGCTTGCTTTAGCAATAAATCAACCAAAATAAGCAGTACTCTCATCTGTTGTGCAAATGTTGTTGTAGATATCACAGCTGCCTGGAAATAAATATGTTTAATAACAAAGCAAAACAATGTAAAAAGAAGCAAACAAATACAAAAGTGAATGACCAAGAAATCGACAGGTGTTACGGTCTGTTCAGTTGTGGCAGTGGGTGTTGAGGTACCTTGGTTCTCTGTACAAAGTTAGACTGAATTACACCAGGCCGGGCTGCTTGGCTCTCCACAGTGGTTTACACCCACGCTGACCCTGTGTAAGACCATGACTTGTGGAGAAGGATCTAAGGTATAGTGGTGGATCTGCAGCTGACCCAGATCCATGGGCAGGAGTCCGTTAATAACTGCCAAAAGCCCTTTCTGCTGCAGGTGATCCTGCTTCTTCGCCGTGCTGCCTGTCCAACCTGCGCTCCCCCTCTCCGTTGCTGTGTTCTGCTGCTCCCCACCTCTTCCACAATCCCGGTGCTGATTAGGCTTGCCCAAAGTCTATGTCTTTCAGTCACATGTGGTCTTTTCCTTTTCCCAGTCGAGTTCAGGGCCACTCTCAGAAGGCTTTAGGGAACTGCCTTGTCCAAGGAAATAAAGCTTTTTTCAAAAAGACAAAAGGACAAACTCAGTACTGTGACATGACACAAGCTGATACCTTCATCAACTTCTGGCAGAATAGTGTATCTTTACTTCACAACTATACATAACATGCTCAGAGGCTGCAGCTAAATAGACTAACAGCAAAGACAGTGCTAAGTATTTAATTTAATTTTTTGTTTTAATTTATGGTACTCCCCATGCTGAAAAGGATAGTGGCAATTATCGTTTCTGAGGCATCATACTTGTACTAGTTGAAATTTAACGAGGCCAAGAAGTCTGAGAAAGTATTCATCTACTAGAAGTCCCTGACAGAAAAAGGGAAGATATTTTCTGTG